TAAATTCATTATATTTCTTATTCTTTACTGTTATGTATTATAATAACCGCCTTCGATGTTTTTCCACTCCTCAAGGTTGACAGGCAGAGAATGCTTTAAGCATTATGTCCGCCTTTTGTACTTATATATTTTATAAGGTTCAAAAAAGTTAAATAAATAAAAAAATAAAAAAATAAATGATGATGATGATTATGAATTATTTTTCTATAGGTTTGTTGAGCCCTATCTAAGTCCTTGAATATACTATAAATTAGATTAAGACCACCATTATGATGCATGTTTTCCCAGTTAGTTGCTTATATTAGGACTTTGTGTATGACGTGTTCATATTTAGTATCTAGTGTAGAAATGTTTACATTTGGAAATCTCCTGATAGTGATATAGTCCTTAAGTAAATTAACTGAATTCATTTAGTATTACAATTTTATATATTTCATATAAGTACAATTATAACTTTATTTGTATTCTATACAATTGTTTTGATATAACTTCTGCCTTATGTAAGTTTTAAATTTTCTATAATTTCTGTAGAATTAAAATTTATATATGTATTTTTAAGATCATTAGAGTATGAAGTAGTAATTCCAAGTATACAGGTTGTTTGGAAGATGGGAGCAAAGCCTGAAGGGGATGATACATTAAACCATTTAGAACATATTAAGCTAAACTTGTCTTAGTCGAAGTCTGCTCCTTTTTTTTAAGTTGAAGTTCTAAGATTTTTACATATAAAACATTTTTTATTCAATTAATTGCTAATATTGTCCAGTAACAGTTGTTATGTTATTATTTTTTATTTATGTTCTTGTAATGTGTGACTACTCAAACTAAATATTTTTCAAGAATCTTCATCATCAGAAAAACATTCTACGCATATTTAAGTTTAAGAAACCAAAAACAAAAATTAAGGAAATGTTGTGTTTATGCCATCATAAAAAAATAAAAGAAATAGCCTTAGTTGGTCAAACCTTTTTACAAACATGCCTAGTTATTAATTACTCTTTCGTTTGAGGAATTATTTACGCAAATGTCTCATCAACTCTTGGAATTAGGTTGTACAAAACCATAACAAATAATAATGGTGCATTATTTTAGTCCGTATAAAAATAAAAATATTCGTCCCCAATTTCATTTGTACACCCTAATTTCAAGAGTTGATGAGACATCTGCGTAAATAATACCTCAAAAGAAAGGGTAATATAGTTGTTCAAACCTTTTTAAAAGATGCTTAGTAGCATGTTTTTAAAAAGGTTTGAACAACAACGGCTATTTTTATTTTTTATGTTGGCATAAACACAACATTTCCTTAATTTTTGTTTTTGGTTTCTTAAACATATTTGCATATTTAATGCGTAGATTTTTTTTTGTTTTTATAGGAGAGGGGGCAAACGAGCATGTGGCTCACCTCATGGTAAGTGACTACCGCCGCCCACGAACAACCGCAGCACCAGGGGAATTGCAGATGCGTTGCCGGCCTTTTAAAAAAGAGTAGACTCTTTTCTTGAAGGTCCCTAAGTCGTATCGGTCCGGAAAAATCGCTGGTGGTAAACTATTCCACAAGGAAGTTGTGCGAGGAAGAAAACATCTTCTAAATCGCACAGTGGTGGACCGCCAATCATCCAGATGGTGCGGATTGTATCGGGAGGTCTGCCGCGATGTGCGTTCGCGAAATTTGGCGGCTGGGATTAATCCGAACAATTCCTCAGAGTACTCCCCGTGGTAAATGCGAAAGAAAATGCAAAGAGATGCAACATCTCTTCGCAGCGCCAATGAGTCGAGCCGATCGGAAAGGACTCGGTCGTCGACGATTCGAGCCGCTCTGCGCTGGATGCGGTCAAGTGGAAGGAGCTGGCACTGGGGAGACCCAGCCCATGGAACAGTATTCCATGTGAGGCTGAACCTGCGCCTTGTAAAGTTGCAGGCGTTGTGCCGGCATGAAATACTGTCCCGCTCTACTGAGCTTGCCAAGCTTTTTAGAGGCCAATTTGGCCTTCTCTTCTAAGTGACCACGAAACTGCACATCACTCGATATGTTGACGCCGAGGATTCCGATACTTGCTGATGCAACAAGGGGAGTGCCTTGAAACTGAGGAGATACGACAAAGGGGTTCTTTTTAGCGGTAAACGCGCAAATTTGTGTCTTCTGTGGATTAAACTGGACTAGATTAAGTCGCCCCCAATCCGAGACCTTGTCCAGCAAAAACTCGACTTCAGATACAAGTTTGTTCCGGTACTCGGCGACGTTTTCCCGAGAAATATTGGCACGGCTGGTGTATAGAGCATCACCAGTGCTGTCGTCCGCATAGCAATGAATGCTACCGGTTTGCAACATATCATTGATATGCAGAAGAAACAGCGTAGGTGATAGCACGCAGCCTTGTGGAACACCACCGTTAATAAGCTTGTAGTCGGAGCATGCACCGTCTACAACGACCTTGATGCTCCGATCTGCAAGAAAGCTGGTGATCCAATTGCACAATTTCTCGGGAAACCCGTAGGAAGGGAGCTTCGACAGACGCGCTTTGTGCCAAACCCGATCGAAGGCCTTCGCAATGTCCAAAATAACCGCCAATGCCTCCCCCTTGGACTCTAGTGCCTTCGCCCATCTATGAGTCAATTAGACCAGAAGGTCACCAGCTGATCGACCCCGATCCATGATTTTGGGACTACGCCTAGAGAGTAGGAGTACCGGAAAAGACGCGTTAGAACCGGTGCCAACTCCGGAGCACACATCCTCAGCACAATTGGGGGGATTGCGTCAGGCCCACTCGACTTGTGGATGTCCAGGGAGAGGAGTGCTTTGCGGACCGATCGCTGTGAGAACCGCACATCCAGCATGGAGCACTCACACCGCGGGATGGTCGGCGGTGTGTTCTCCCCGTCATCAAGAGTCGAGTTGGACGCAAAAAGGGGGCCTAAAAGGTCGGCTTTCTCTTTTGCGGCGTGGGCCGGTGAGTCGTCCTCCCTGTGCAGAGATGGTAGGGATGGCTTGCAGAAATTCCCTTGGACAGCCTTGGCGAGAGACCAGAACGCACGGGTTCCCGAAGGAAGGCGATCTAGTTTCTCGCCAATTCTGCCTATGTGCTCTGACTTTGCCTTGGCAATAACCTTGATGCGAATTTATACTTCTTTTTAAGCATGCTGGTGTTTACATTCCGAGCGGCCGAAGCCTCAGCCCAGGCCCGATAGCACTCCTGCTTACTGTGTAATGCATTCTTACAGGAGCGATCAAACCAAGGCTGAGATCTGCCTCCGATGGGTACCACAGATGATGGAATAAATAGTTCCATTCCTGTAACACCACATCAGTAACAGAGTCAGCAACAGCGATGGGATCATTCGGCGAGAAGCAAACCCGCTCCCATGGGTAGGATGCAAGGAAAGACCGCATTCCGTCCCAATCCGCCGACCTGTAATGCCAAACACGGTGGCAACCTGTAGAACACAACCGTGAGGGGAGCGTGAGTGGCACCACACTCCGGAACAGACAATGGTACGAAGAGCCGAGAGGGACATCGACATCCGTCCGGATGAGAGGTCAGCAGAAGGTCCAACAGGGAAGATGTATGATCCTTCACATCTGGAATCAGCATAGGCGATGTAACCAGTTGTGTCAGATCATATGCCAAGGCAAAGTCATAAACAGATCTCCCCGCATGATCGGTTAATGTTTTTCTGATGATTAAGATGCTTGAAAATTATTTAGTTTGAGTAATCACACATTACATAAATAAAAAATAAATAAAAATAATAACATAACAACTGTTATTGGACACTTTTAGCAATTAATTGAAAAAAACAAAGGGTTTAATTGTTAAAAACCTTAGAAATTAAATTTTAAAAAAGGAGCAGACTTCGTCTAAGACAAGTTTAGCTTAATATGTTCTATATGGTTTAACGTATTATTCCCTTCAGGCTTTGCATCCATCTTCCAAACAACCTATATATTTCATCACTTTTTAAAAAAAACTAATCATATTAGTCACAAGATATATTATGTTTACTTTCTTATTTAATAGAATTGTTGCATCATATCATTCGCATTAATGATGATTAGATTATGTAGTAACAGGGTGAGAGGTTAGATAATGTTTATAAAATGTTCAGTATCAATATTTTAAATTAGTTTTTCATGAATTTCTTTAATCAAAATTATATTAATGATTTTCGGGTTTAATATCACTCTGCTTTGTTTGCAATTTAGCATTTATTTTATAATAATATAACAGCCTAGACATAGCTCACCTATTATAAGTCTCCTTAGAAAGGTGTTATGGATAGACGAAGCAGATGAGGTCTGTGTTGCGCATTTTCGTTAGTAAATGTAGTGTATAAGTTAGCGCATTTCTCACTGTTACAGAAAAGTAAGGCCACTCGCTTTAGATCTCCTTGTATACAAGTAGGGTTGAATCCAAGGTGGTGGTTCACTGTCAGTCTTATTAAATTTGTTAATCGGCATTTGTAGTCTTAATTTACCGTAAATAAAATACCAGAATCTGCAAGTCTGATAAATTTGTAGATTGCCATAATAATGTTCACTATTACCATTAGCTGGGCACAAATGGTGCAAAAACTTCATCAGGTTTTCAGAGTTCCGTATCCGAAGGGTAACCAACGGGACCCTGTTACTAAGCCTCCGCTGTCCGTCCGTCCGTCCGTCTGTCTGTCAGCGGGCTGTATCTCATGATGAGTAATATGTAGACAGTCGAACTTTTCATAGAATATGTATTTCTGTTGCCGCTATAACAACAAATAATAAAAATAAGTTAAAAAAGGGGGGGCTCCCTTACTAGAAACGTGTTTTATGATTGTTCGGAACCCTTCATGCGCGACTTCGACTCGCACTTGGCCGGTTATTATCTATCTTGAATTTAGAGTTTTATTATGGCAGACATTCCCTCTAGTGCCATTTTCTTCAAAATTTTTGTGATGAAAAATACTGCTCTATGATATTTGAATAAAACATAAACTGCATATCTAACTGGTGTAATGTTCTTTTACAGAATATAAAGCGTCCAGAAGTTCTGTACCAAGAAGTGGTTGAAGTAGACTGCAGAGTCATACCAGCTTTAGAAGAACGTTGTGAAATCGATAAGTCACAATCAAAATGGAAGGAAGTAATCGGTACAACAGGACAGAAGATGCTGGTTACCAAAGAAGTAGACGAGGAAGTGGTGAGGAGAGATTTAAAAAAGTTGAGAGAGAAAGGAATAGAAAGTATTGCTGTTGTTCTAGCACACAGTTATACCTATCATGATCATGAGCTTAAGATTGGAAAAATTGCAACAGAATTAGGTAATATTACAGTTTTTTAAATATTTATAGGCATTTTACCTCTAAAGACCGTAGAAGTAGTAATAAAATATCCACTAGTGTTGTATATTTTTTTGTTTCTACAGTTTCTGGTATAAAGAAAAATAAAAAAATATATTAAATAATGAACGCTGATAACGCCACTCACGTTGAGTTAAGACATGTCTACAAGTCGCGGCACGTAAGTCTAGCGTTAAACCAAACGTGGAGCGGACGCGCACGAATCGAATTGCACTAATGCGAATGGAAATCCAATCAGCACCTGCTAACGATACGTACGAGTCAATAAGCGCAAATTACGCGCAATAAGCCAATCAACGCGACTTATGCGCAATAACGGTCACCGCTAGACTTTCCTGCCGATACTTATATATTATGTTTTGATGATTACTATTTTCCAGTTGATAGTTAGTCGGATTTTCAGCTTCGTTAAGGAAATATTATTACTTATTTAACAGTTTGTATACACACATACAATGATAGGTAAATAATAAAAAGACTACTTGTACATTTGGAAACGGTACCATATTTTATTTCTTGCTGTAACTTTCCAGTGAAAACCTTTTTTAAATACTGATATAATCCACCCCGTAACAGTTAATTTTGGAGGTGGTACCCGTTTAACTATTTCATCCGCCAAGCAGTTGCTTGAAATGAAATGCATTCTCTGTGTTGATCTTGTTTCAATGTTATAGAGAACCAGTATAATTACATGTATACATATACAATACTATAAGTCGTTCTATCTTGGCTCTCTCAGGGGTGATAACAAATCAGTAAGTAACCTTCCTTGGTGTAGTTCGTTGCAGGCTTCCATGGCCTGCAGTAGCTACTTACTATCCAGTGTATTATTACTATATATAGTACTATATATTAATAATGTAGGAAAATTCTTACTTCCGAAACAAAATGAGCTGATGATCTTTAAACAGCTGAATAGATTTTCTTGAAACATGGCTATGAACATTCTTGATTATGACACCTTTCTAACGAAAAAAAATTATTCAAAATCGGTTCATCCTTTCAGGAACTACGATGTCACAGATAGACACACAGATACGAGTACATAAATACACACTACAAACATATAACACCCGTCTGTTTTGGTTGGGGGTTAAAAACCGTCTTATTAACTCCAGAAGTAAAGTACCCAGTCATATGACGGTAAGCACGTCAAAAGTACAAGACCTCTGGTACTGCAACCGCCAATCCGCCTGCAAGTTTGGCGATTAAGGCAAATCCCCTAATTAATCCGAATCCTTACAGCGGGAGAGGCCCGTCCCTATTCCTGAACTATTCCGGGCCAATAAAGACAAAGAAAGAGAAGTGTTAGTTAATAGATGAGTGGCAGATCGACAGTGCAATTGTGTAATGCTTTTTTCTGAGGGGCCTTAAGCGACGCAGTGTAGTGTAGTGTAGTGGAGCCTTTAGCTTTATCCGGTCATGCATATATTTGGTTGAATGGATCTGTGCAAGCTAGCAACACTAAAATTCCAGCGAGTAATATTGATATCGCCTTCTATAACACATATACTAGTATTTAATTAAAATCGGTTACCAATCAATATCTGACATTAAATATAATGTATTTTCAGGGTTCAAACAAGTGTCCCTCTCCCACGCGGTGACTTCCATGGTACGCATCGTACCGCGTGGTTTCACAGCCTCTGCTGATGCATACTTGACTCCTCACATTCGGGATTACGTTAGGGGTTTCGCTGACGGATTCACTAATGGCTTAAAAGGCGCAAATGTGCTCTTTATGCAATCTGATGGCGGGCTGACTCCAATGAACTTGTGAGTGTCTGATGTCTGTGTTTTATTTTAAATAAGTATAAATTTACCTCCTATACGGTACCATGTGTACACAGTCCAACTGATGCTAAATGGATCTTGTGGCCCGTAGACACCCCACATCTATCTTCGAATAAGAATCAAAATATAGAGGCGTTGTCATCCCTCAAGGCTAAGATGGAATGTCTCATTTCAAATAAAAGGGTCTCCGGTTCTCTACACTCACTATATCAAACGTATTTTACGCTGGTATTCTGTGAACGCGTGGACCTCGTAAACCGTGGACCGCGCTAGGAATAATATATCTGCAGCGAGGCTTTCCCACGTAAATGGATGGACGGATGGTTGGATGACATAAAAGAAGACTGTGAGAAATGCCGGAAATGCCTGCTGTGTGTTACTCTTGTTAAGGCCGAGAGATGTAATATATTCAGATCGGCGACAGGAAGCACCGTTAAAGGTACAAGACTTTTGGTACTATGTTTGCCGATCAATTGTGTGCTGGTTTTAGTAGCGTGGTCAGCCTTAGTGGGTCATATATCACAATTTTTAAGGGACATTTGAACGTGGAGACATTTTCGCAAAATATGTTTGCTTTTAAGTTTACGTACTGTTTTTACTAACTAAATAAGTATGTGGCGACCCATGCAGATGGGTCACTGGGGTGATGAATCCGATCTAAATCTGGACCTGATACATAACATAAGCCGGTAGCAAAGGTTTCTGGAGTTATAAAGTATTCCACCATCACCAAACTGCTTAGCACGTACGGTAAAATCTTCCGACTTGAAAAAGACCTCCCTAATAGTTTATTTATTTATTCTTTATTGTAATCACCAAGATTTTAATGGACGTAAAGCCTTGTGGCATTTTCTGCAAATCAACCCAGGCGTAATAAGAAAAGTGTTGGCAGGTGCAGACTTTGATGGAAAGAGAAGGAAAAAACAAATAAACTGGTACTGGTGGTTATTCATTTCTTCCACTTCTCATCTCTTACCAGTCATCTAGTGGTCGTCATCTTGTGAGGTACCGCTCTACTCTTTTCTTCATGGTTCTGGTTCTTCGAGCTACATAGCTAGTCTATTGCCACTTCACATGGCCAGTCCATTGCCATTTCACATGGCCGGCCCATTGCCAATTCAGCTTACTGGGGCTATGTTGGTTACTGTTGTTCTATTGCAGATATCCACATTACGAGTTCTATCACGCAGATAAATTCCGAGCATAACCCTCTCCTTAGCTCGCTGAGCGACATAGTTTCTTCATGCGGCCATTAATGAAGGGTCACGTCTCAGAACCATATGTCCACACTGGCAAGCAACACTGGTTGTTCACTCTTATTTTAAAAGAATTGTTGATTTTTAAAAATTAATGTTTTTTTAAATTAAATATTGCGTTTCTCTTGGCATTCGCTCACGTAGGTGTGGCTTTAGTAGCCGAAGTGCCTTAAAATTTCCAATTGACATCACTGAAAATATTTTTTTCTTTTTTTACAGATTCAATGGTTCCCGTGCGATTTTGTCTGGACCGGCAGGTGGCGTAGTAGGATACGCAATGACGTCTTATCAGAAGGAGACTAGGTTGCCAGTTATAGGTAAATAAGTGTTGAAGTAACACACACGAATAGAGTCTGATCTCTATTAAAGTACTTCTTAAGAGTCGTCAAATAAAATATTTTTATAGAAATTGTATGAAATGACGTCATTCTGTATATAGTCAAATTACTAATTTATTAATGATAGTGTCAAGTACCCATTTAGATCAAATATCTTATCACAGGTTTTGACATGGGGGGCACTTCTACGGATGTGTCAAGATATGCGGGCGCACTGGAGCACGTACATGAAGCGACCACTGCTGGTGTAACCATACAAGCTCCACAATTAGGTATTTTTGTCTTTTTTACTTTGTTAACTTTCTCTTTCAGGACCCGTACTGTGTTCCAATCTCTAAAATGCGGTTAAGTAACATTCGGCAGATTTTTATATTGTAATATAAGTACAACGACGGATCTTTCTCGCTGAGATATCAACATTAAAGTTGTAAAAAACACATCTTTGTAATAAAAAGTCCTTTGGTTTAAAAAAAAACGTAAAAGAAATTGTTATCGCTTGTTACTTTATTGACTTTATTTTTCGTATTTTCGGCTGCTGCGTTTGGTTTCTTTAAATCTTTGCTGAAAGTGGTCATCCTTATTTCTTTTTTAGCTTTTAATTCTTTTACAGACTTTTGCATTCATTCGGCAAGACAACTCCAAACATCTGCCATTTTCTTTTTATCTATATGATTGAAATATTTGGGATCCCAGATAATTGTGTGGAGATCCCGAATAACACTCATCTTAAAATAGGCCTAGATTGACTCATAGGGGTTTTTCCATAGTTACCACGCCTGGGGTTGCCAACCCACCTGCCGGGCGGGCCAGCCGGTTGCCAGGTTGGTTCACTCTGCTAATATTCGAGAAAGAATATAGTTTGCTTGTTCGACTAGCTACTCAATTTGCGATCGAAAATCCGCAAAACATCTATCCGTCGCGAGATCACAAGCGATACTTGCGCCTACTACAGGCGCCCTTAGATTTTTGTTATAAAACCGACACTCTATCGGAATGTCGACATGCTTCTCCAAGTTCAGCCAAAACTCCCGTTTACACGCTTGTGCTTGTGGGCGCTTGCCGAGTTTTTGTAAGCATGTAAACTCGGCATAAAATAACAGTTTAATGATATCTTTTATGACCATATGATGAAAGACAACAGAGACTTTTACTGGTAACGAGGCCTTCTATTTCAGTCCTCAGGAGTGACATCACTGACATCTGCATTATGATTTTTAACCGCAGATAGATGTAGGTGTCTATGGGCTACAGCATTCACTTACCGTCAGATGAACTGTGTGCTTTTTATCTCCCTGACCTGTATAAAAAATGTTTACAGATATAAACACAGTGGCGGCCGGTGGCGGTTCCATGTTGTTTTTCCGCTCAGGGCTGTTAGTGGTGGGGCCCGAGTCGGCGGGTGCGCAACCCGGCCCCGCTTGTTATAGGAAAGGAGGCCCGCTGACTGTCACTGATGCTAATTTACTGCTGGGTAAGTTAATTGCGATCATTATTTAGAGGGTAGTTGTAAAAAAGGCTCGCTAGTGCAGTGACGAAGCGTTTGACTGCGGCGCTGCGGGCCCGTGGGTTAAAAATATTTTGATTTGTACTTTATCTTCATTGTGAAATTTATTTATACACACGGCAGTGTTAGCCAAGTTCTCAAAAATAAAATGGCGACGCATCGGTAGTATGTACATTTTCACGAACCATTTCTAGCCACTTACGTATTTTATTGTATTTTTAATAATTGTATTTTAAGTAATAATGTCCTTCAGATCGAGTTTCGGTCACGGCGGCTAGTCTCAACGCCGTGACCGAAACATTTCATACGTGGTGGAGCCATATTGTAGCTATATTAGTAGTATAGTTGTAGCACGAATGGGTCGGCTCGACCGGGGAAGGACCACGCTCTCACAGAATATCAGCGTAAAATAGCAGCCGCTGTGTTTCGTATGGTGAGTGTAGAAAACCATTTTACTGGAAAAGAGACATTCCATCCATTCCATGAGGACTAACCTCACGGGTGACGACGCATCTGCATTTTGATTCTTTATTGAGGATAAATGTAGATGTCTATGGGTTACAGCAACTACTTACCATCAGGTGGACTGTGTGCTCGCTTGCCACCCTATCCTATATAAAAAAAGACGAGTCATCTGCGCGGGACGGGATTATAGTGACCGAGTGTATGCGCAAGCACAGGTGCACTTATTCCCTCACTCTCATAGTCCTATGAGACGGTTATCCGGCACGACCAGAGAGAGAGAGATCAGGCACAGAACCAACAGTTTAAAGCGTCTCCCACACATAAGCGGCTTGGGGTGGCGGCTAGCCGCGAGCCGCGGCTTCAGCCGCTGCAACAACACACCACCGCAGTCGCAGCGCCGGCCCGAAGCGCCATTCGTTGAGGTGTCTGTGCTACGATTGGACGTCAGTAACATGACTAACCGTGACTAAGTCTTATTATATTCAGCATTATTATCATATATTTTGTTTTTAATCTTAAAGATTTTGTAATCACGATGCGAATTATCATAAAGTACTGGATAATTTTGCACTGTTTCAATTAAAATCTCTGAATTTTGCACCATTTTTCACGCGGTACACGCGGCCTGTTGTGAAAATTTGCAACTGACCGCGCTGCGGCCACCGATTGACCACGTACTCGCTAACACACACGCGTTGGCAGAAGGGGCGGAGCATGCGGCCGCGGCCAGCCGCTCGCATATCGCGACCTGGCCGTACGGGTTGGCAGACTCCGCAGAAGCCGCTTCTGTGTGGGAGACGCTTAAAGCGTCTCCCACACAGAAGCGGCTTGCGGTGGCGGCCGCGGTGGCGGCCAGTTGTATTCGCTTGCAATGTAAGTGAGTCTGGAAACCCGTGCGGCCATGGCGCGGCCTGCCATCGTCTGGCCGCGGGTGCATGCCCCGCCCGCTTGTGTGTTAGCGTGTACGCGGTCAGTTGCTAATTTTTAAAACAGGCCGCGCGTACCGCGTGAAAATGGTGTTACATTCAGAGATTTTAATAGAAACTGCAAAATTATTCAGTACTTTATGATAAATCGCATCGTGATTACAAAAGCATTAGGATTAAAAACAAAATATATGATAATATTACTGAATGTAATAAGACCTCGTCATGATTAGCCATGTTTACTGACATCCAATTGTAGCACAGACACTACAGCGAATAGCGCTTTAGGACGCCACTGCGATCGCGTTGGTGTATTGTTGAAGCGGCTGGAGCCGCGGCTCGCGGTTAGCCGCCACCGCAAGCCGCTTGTGTGTGGGAGACGCTTTACGTGCTTTCCAAATCACGGGGGTGAAACACCGCCAACTTCCTGACTTTGAGCTACTACTGACAATTTAGAAAAAATTTAGACAGAAAAATCCAATAATTGATATTGGCCTAACCCGGGATTTGAACCCAGGACCTTAAGATCAGTAACCGCGTTTACGACCACTGGTCCAATGAGGCAGTCAACACTGTGCTTGAAGTAAATCAGTGCTGACAATTATGTTTTTAAATAATTTTCGCAGGACGCCTCATACCGGATTATTTTCCAAAGATATTTGGTCCAAATGAAGATCAACCTTTGGATAAGGAGGCCACTATAAACGCATTCAAGAAGATCACTGATGAAATCAACACTTTCTTAAGACAAAATGGCAGTAAAGAGGTATATTAAAACAAAGTTTATAATAATTGTTGTTAATTTATTTAGGCGTGAACCCTCAAAGTAAAGACTGTTATTGGCCTAAAGTGGTTGGAGAGTAGTGGACTGTATTTGGTATTTTAACTGGCGGTGTGAGGTTAGCTATACTAGGGGACTGCTCGAAGAAAAGATGGTACTTTTAATTATACTATATTCACTATTTACAAGGGTTCGGCACTATTAACTAAATCACTATACAAAAGGGAGGTCTTCAGTATGGAGTCTTCTGTCTTGATTCTTCCTTGCCGCTTCCGATTGAATGCTTCTGAATGATCCGAATGAACCCGAATGAACAACGACCTAACTATTTTCTGTGTGATGTTTACGCTGTTAACCTATGCGGTTCTTACAGCTTCATCGGACGCAGGGCTCGCGGCCTGAAAGGCCGCGAGCTATTTAAAAGTGGAAAGGCGGTAGCTGGGATAAGGATGAGGATGATGATGGTTTGTGATTTGGTATTGTTACCAATCATCATGTCCCCTCCGTAGAGGTTTATTTTGAGCTATCTAACCGCAGTCCGAGGGGGGGAATGCGAACCCCTGCCTCTGACTGCTTAGCTCGTATCGGTCGATGTTCTGGGCGGTGAGAACCGCCCAGGCACGCGGGTGTACGGTGTGTACGCGGTGTGTGTTGGAACGCGTCGTGCCCGCCTACGGGTGCGACGCGCCCCTTCCGTTGTCCTATTAGTGTTTGTCCCAATTAGTGTGGGTGTAGTGTCAGTGTGTGATGTGCCTGCGACGTTTGGGTCGACGGGATCGAGCGAGCGCGGTTGCTCTATTAATACATTACGCGGTCTACGGAGAAACGGCGCGACGTTCGGTATCGGGACGTAGTTGGCTGCGTTTACCACTAGGGGGTTCGGATGAGCTTCGGCGCTGTCAAAGTAGCGCTGGGACATCTCCTTAAAGTATTCGGAGATACAGGGGAGTTGACAATCGCTGTGTAAATCAGAGTTCCGTTGATACCACCGTGCACCGGTGGCTTTACGGATGAAAAGGTTTTGAACTTTCTGTAGTTCGTTTAGGTGGGACTTATATGTGTGTGCAAAGGCTACACTTGCGTAAGACATGATAGGTCTAACGCAGGATTTGTACAAATGGAGTTTGTGCCTTAGAGACAGCTTACTCTTGCTGTTCACAAGAGGATGGAGACGGCCAATAACTGACTTGGCTTTGTTGCGAACAATACTAATGTGTTTCGCGAAACTCATGTTGGCGTCAAACGTAACGCCCAGATATTTGGCCGAGGATTCCCATGGGATGGGGCGGCCGTATAAGGTAATTACCTTCATACGTTTTCTTGGTCCATTACCGGACTGTTTTGGATTCCGTTGAAAGTATATTGCTACACTTTTTTCGGGATTCACTTCAATTCTCCATTGGCGGAACCATTCGCCTAAGCGATTGGCAGCTTTTTGGAGTTTTAAAGTGAGAATATTCCTATTGTACTCTGATACAAAGAGAGCCGTATCGTCGGCGAAGAGAGCGGTGTTGACCGCTGGATCTTTAGGGATGTCACTCGTAAAAAGTGTAAACAGAATTGGAGACAGGGCGGAGCCTTGTGGGACACCGGCCTTAGGAAAGCGTTTCGAAGAACGGGTTCCCTCCACTCGATAGCGAAAAGAGCGATTTGAAAGGAAGGCTCGGATGATGTGTACGAGCCTGTCCGGCACGTTTAGTTTATACAGCTTGTAGAGCAAGCCGTCGTGCCAGACCTTATCAAATGCCTTTGCGACATCAAAGAAGAGGGCTCCCGTGCCTCGAGATTTTCTCCTTGTCGGATGATGATTGAAGCCAGACAGAATATATTCTGTTAGGCGATGAATTTGGTTAGTACATGAATGTTTGGCTCTAAATCCAAACTGTTCGTCAGGGAGGAGTCTGTTAGTTTCCGTGAAGTGACGGAGGCGCTTGAGGATTGTGTGCTCATATAATTTACCTAAGGTGTTGAGTAGGCTGATAGGCCTGTAACTGGTGGGTCGGTTACGCGGTTTGCCCGGTTTATGGATTCCTATTACGTCTGCTTCTTTCCAGATATCCGGGAAAGAGCAGCTCGAGAGAAGCGCGTTGAAAATTCCTACGAGGAGGTAAATTAACGGTGCCGGAAGAGATTTGATCACCTTGTTACTGATGCCGTCTGGCCCAGGGGCTGATCTAATCTTAAGGCTTTTTATGGTCTTAGTGACTTCTTCGAAAGTCACGGGATCGAGTGGATCGCCCGCTGGCGGAAACGCAGCCCTACGTTCGATTTCCGCTTCTACCTCTAGCAGGTGAGCGGGATCTGTTGGTACGCTGGATGGGGTACACTGGCTCTCTAGACTGTCGGCTAGGCATTCGGCTTTTTCGAGATCGTCTAAGGCGAGATCGGGGTGGTCGAGCCTCACGAGAGGCGGCATGGGAGCAATTTGCTCTGCTTTTATGGCTTTAGTCAGCCTCCAAAAGGCATCTTGAGATGGTTCTAATCCCTCTAAGAGGTTATCCCATTTATCATTTCTAAATTCTACAACGCGTTGTTTAATCTCGTTTTGCAGAGAACGTAGCCGGATTTTGTTATCTTCCGTGCGATAACGGTCATATGCTTTTAGCGCGGAGTTTTTCGCTCTAATCAGCCGTCGAACGTCTGCCGGAAGCTTTGTGTACCGATCGCTCGACACACGAACCTTACGGGAGCACTCTTCGACCGCTGATGTGAGGTGAGTCGATAGGGCGCTAATCGCCCTATTGGCTTCCTCCGGCGAGTCTATCTTGTCCGGTATTGAGTCTAAATGCTGGGAGTTCGTAGACTCAAGTTTGACCTTGAGCTTACGCCAGTCGACGATGGTTTTGGTCTGAGGGACCTCACCAGCCGACCGGCCCAGTTCTAATACGATCGGCCTATGGTCCGAGCATAGTTCGATGAAAGTTTCGATCGAGTTAATGTTAAGCCGGATGTCTTTTAAAATAGCTACGTCAAGGACGTCCGGTTGGTGACTAGTTATAAATGGGTAGTGAGTTGGGCTCTCAGGAGCGATAACGTCGAAGTTAAGTCTCTCCGTGAGGCCGCATAATATGTTTCCGTTTGGATTGTTTAGGTTAGAGTTCCAACTAACGTGCTTACTGTTTAGGTCACCCGCGATTACTACGCTGGGGCCTAGATTTAGTAGTGCCGAGATGTCGGCTTCTAATAAGGGTTTTTGCGGTGGCTGATATGCCGAGGCAATTATGACGGGCGGATGGCCCGTAAGTGCTATTCTACATACCGATGCTTCTAAGTTAGCAAGCGGTGGAGTGTCTAACGGTATACAGTGCAAGGACCTTTTGTAGTAGATCAAGGTGCCGCCTTTAGGTCCGGTCAGCCTATCATTTCTTACTAAGGTATAATTAGCTATTTTGGGATCGCGCACGCTAGGTTTCAAGAAGGTCTCCTGCACTAGCATGATGTCGACATCATGATCGCGTAAAAAGTACACGATTTCTTCCTTTTGATCTCTGATGCCGTTTGCGTTAAAGAACGCGACAGTCAGTGAGCTAGGTTTGGTTCTGCCTGTATGTTGTACTGCCATTTTGTTTTAGAGAGATTATTATTTTAAGCGCATTGGAATGAACCGATCGCGTCGATGAGATTGATATGCTCAATGGTGGCATTGAGCTTATCTTGAGCGGATTTGGCCTCGCGTAGTTTACGGGCCAGGGAAGACACTTCGGCAACATTAATATTGTTGAAGAAGCTGCAGACTAACGAGAAGTCAGCAGCGAAGGTAGAAGATGCCTGAGGGGCAAGTTTGGGCTTTTGAGCCTGGAGAGAGGGCGCTGGCCGTGAGGCGGCCGCGCTAACAATCGCCGGGGGCTTAACCCATGCGTTCGACGCGGGTGCTGAAGGCACCGATGAGCTTACACCTTGCCCGGAAGACCCTTTAGCGGGGGCGGGTTTGGTGTGAGGCTGAGGGGGCGCGGGTTGAGACACCGAGATCGGTGCTAATGATGGGGCATGTTGCCTAGGACGGGACCTACTAGCGCTAGCCGCTCGTCCGCGCCGGTTTGCGCCTCCGCGCCACTTTCTACGCGGCGCTTTGGTACACCCGCGATAGTTCGCTGGGTGTCCCGCTTCGCCGCACAGAACGCAGCTCGGAGGGCCTTCCGACTCGGGCGTTCGGGTGCACTCGGGTGTGCCGTGGTCACCTAGACACTTAACGCATCTAGGTTTCGCATAGCAATTTTTGGCCGAGTGGCCATACAGTTGGCATCGGTGGCATTGACCAACGATGCCCCTATTACGGGGGGCCTCTACCGTAATCCCAGTGAGATTACAGATTCGGCGAATATTGTATATTTCTTTCCCTTCCGGGGACAGGTCTAAGATAACTAGACAAAGGTCTAGGTATCTTTTTTTGTCGGTGGGGTGGTGCATTCTGTGCACTTCCCTAACCGGGAGATTCTGCGATTTAAGATCGCTTAAAATGTGCTCGGTTTCGAGCTCCTTAGGGAGCCCGCGAACGACTACGCGGAGGTTGCGTTCTTCCGCAAGGGCGTAAGTATGGAAGCTCAGTTTCTGAGCTTTAAGATGCGCAGTTAAAGCGCGGAAGTCATCAGTCGTTGAGACGTGGATGCGTATGCCCTGGCCACCATTGTGGACCTTTGGGCAGAAGATTTTTTTGGAGTCAATCCAATGCGAAAGGTTGCTCCATCGGGATTTATCCTGAAGGATGATCGGGGGCGGCGGTTTTTCCTTGCGCACCGCGGCGGGTTCAGAGTTCGCGATTTTGGCGATTTTAGGGCGCGCTGAAGGCGCGGTCTTTTTAGCCGGAGTGGCGTTAGGTGACGACGACGGGGACGAAGGGGCCGAGTGAGGCTCGGCGCCCTTTTTCGCGGCGGGACGTTTACGTTTTTTGCCCGAGACTACGGTGAAGCCTTCGTCATCGGGCATGGCGGGTTTCGCGACGTCGAACTCCATTTCGGAGCCCGTCTCGGCGTCCGAGAACGCCGGGG